TGTCTTGCCGCCACGCAATGTGAGCTGACGGGAATGACGAATGACCAAGGTGTGCTGTTGGCCTCTCTCACCCTCTCTCTCATTTACACAAGACACTGTGTTCGTGATCGTGTGTGGTGCACGCACAGCATCCACGCAGCAAAACAACTCAACAAGACTAAGACACAATCAGACATCGCACGGGGCAGAGAGACAAATGCTCCATCTCGTCAGTCTGGCTGCGTGGGGGCTGCCTGCCCTCGACCCCGGCCGCCCTTACGAATCACCGCCCTCGTCTTGGGATTGTCACTTGCTGATCGGCTCGCCCCGCGGCCAGTTGCTCCGGGCAACCTGCCCCCGCCTCGCACTGTTCCGTGGGGAGGGCCGCTCAGCGGCGATGGCGGCTCCTGCGGCGGAGGCGGGCTGGCGCCCAGTTCACCATCCTCGGATGCACTCCCCGCGGAGTCCTCCCCGTCGGCTGCCCATTCGCCGCTTACGCGAGGCGCTGGGTCCTGCCACCGAGGAGGCGTCGCCTCGGCAGACGCGCCAAGCTCCGCGCCAACCTCCGCGCGGCGCGCTTCGTCGGTGAGAACATCCTAACAGGGACGGTGCGGTGCCTCGGGCACCCACGCACACACATACGGCAGGGCAGCAGATTGCGCGCTCCTTTGCGTTGGTGAGGCGCTTGAAGGCCTCCTCGGCGCCCGGAGATTGGTTACGATCCGGATGCAGCTGCCTCGCCAACGCCAAGTACCTACGAGTACACCGGGGAGGGTATGGACGTGCACGGGAAGCTGAGCACACTGAGACGGCGATCGCACGCTCGCTGCACTGCAGCCACATCAGCCCCGCGCGGGATCCCGAGCGTGCTGTGAGGCTCGTTGACGCCAAGCCGCAGGACAGCTCTAATCGCCTTTGCACCAGACGAATTCGTGTGCCCTCTCAGCTGCCCCTTGAAGCGCTCCGCCTCGCGAGTCGCATGGAAGCTTAGGCTGCGCTGCACTAGACGCATCGCCTCGGCGTCTCGCCCGGCCGCGTAGAGGATGCGCGCCTGCTTGAGCGCATTCTCCGCCTCACGGCGCCGCACGGCCGTGTAGATCGCGAGGTCGTACGCGAAAAACATGAAGGATTTTCGGCCCCGCTCTGTTGGCGGTGAAGGCGAGGGAGGGACGTCGCAAATGGCCAGCCAATGGCCCGCAATGTACCGCAATGTGGCGCGCAAAGAGAATTTTGCGCCAGGATTTTACATGCTCTTGGCCAGGCTCCCCGGCCCCTTGCGCGAGGAGAGCTCGATAAACTCGAGGGGCCAAAATATGCCGCCAGGAGAGCAGAGCTGCGACGAAAGGAGAGAGAAGCCGCGAGAGCAAGGGAGCGGCAGGCGGCGGCGGCGTCGCAGGACGAGGCAGACGAGAACGTGAACGACGCGACAGAGGAGGGGAAGCGACAGGGAGGGGAGAACGACGAGAGTGGGACGACCGCGAGGTGGCATGAAGGTTGCAGCGAGAATCGGCGAGGGACTGCGAAGGGAGATAGAAAGAGGCAGACGACCAAGGGATAGGGTGGGCGACGGCTAGCACCACACCCCTCTCCTTAAAATCCCTGTGTGGTGGTAGTGGTGGCGGCGTGCCGTCCTCCCATCCCTCCCTTGGGTTGTCTGTTTTCTTTCTTTCTTTTTTCCCCGGCCCTGGATGTCCAGTCCGAGCCTGGCTGTTCTTCACCTTTGTACTAAACTAACTAACTAACTGCCCGGGCAATAAGTTAATGACTGCACTCCAAGTGCTCCAAGTGCTCCCTCGCACGACACTGGGCACGCGCAAAGAGAAAACGGACGGAGGTCGCACAACGCACTCTCGGTGAACCTTCTTTTGTACTAGGCTAGGATTGAGAGCAGCCTCGCTCTCAATCCTAGAAGTCGAAGGATTGCGAGCAGCACTCCTCGCAACCGTAGCATCTCTGTGCGATTGTGAGCGCCTCGCTCGCAATCCTACATCTTCTAGGACTAAGTCTAAGAGCAGCTCTCCGCTCCCAAGATGACGTGGGGACGCCTACGACTACTACCACCGCGCTCGCAATCCGAGCAAAGTCTAAGATTGCGAGCAGCACTGCTCACTCACAATCCTAGCAACAAGCTTCCGATTGCGAGCAGAAGCGCTCGCAATCCTAGAATTTCGCCGATTGCGAGCGACACCGCCCACAGTCCTACGACTTCTAGGCGAGAGCTACTGCTCGCAATCGGAGGCATGTTGCTAGGGGATTGCGGTGAGCAGTGCTGCTCGCAATCCTAGACTTTGCTCGGATTGCGAGCGCGGTGGTAGTAGTCGTAGGCGTCCCCACGTCATCTTGGGAGCGGAGCTGCTCTTAGTCCTAGAAGATGTAGGATTGCGAGCGTAGGCGCTCACAATCGCACAGAGATGCTACGGTTGCGAGGAGTGCTGCTCACAATCTTGGAGCACTTGGAGTGCAGTTATTAGCCTCACATCCAGGGCCGGGGGGCTAAGAAGCACACCCAGCGGGCCAGATGATCGATATCGGGTTGCGGGCAAGAGAGCCCTAGCCCTGGGGGGTGCGCGTTCGCAGGGAAAGGGCCGTAAAGTAAACACGGGTCTCCGAGCACCGAGGGTTAGTCTGCGCTTTGGGTTTCCCCTAGCGGCGGAGCGCCCCCTCTACTCGGAGCTAGGAAACACCAGACACGCACACGACGTACATCCTCGCACTCGACGTCACCCCTCAGGGCCCCTCCGTTCGGCCTCCCCACCCTCGACTCGGAGGGGCTCCCCTCTCCTCCCGGTCCTCCTCCCGGCTCGCTTTCCGCTGGTTGGGCAGCGGCTGCGCTCGTCCGCCTTCCCCTCCTTCTTCGGCCGCGGCCCCGTCGCCGTCTCGTCCTCTCTGCCTGATTCCAATCCTTCGACTTCTAGGATTGAGAGCGAGGCTGCTCTCAATCCTAGCCTAGTACAACAGAGGTTCACCCGCACTCTCTCACATGAGAGACAAGCGATCCCACGACAGCGAGTGTGGGGACTACATGATCCGCTGATGATCCGTACGTGAAGGGTGGAGGGGCCCGTCCGCAGAGCTAGGCGGCGCGGGCACCCCCCACTGGGGCCGAGGCTAAGAGGACGTCTGCCGCTTGCTTGTTGTTGACGTCGTTGACCCATTTGGCACGCCCAGGCGATTTGACCCAGTCGGCACGCGTACAAAACAAACGGTGACAAGGAGAAACCAGAGCTCACCCGGCAGTACAACGAGAGGGGTACAAGGTCGACCTCGCAGAACCCCACGCTGGGCCGGGAGGATGCGATGAAGTAAATGAAATCAAGCTCTGGACGCCCCTCCTCAAGACCTCCTCGACGGGCGTTGGCAACGCCTCGAGTGGCGGCACGCCCGCCTCCGTTGGCCACTCCTACGCCTTCGGCAACACCGAAGAGAAGGCCCGCCGCCTAAACATGGGCTGCAAGGCGCGCGGGCAGCCCGGCCAATTCTTCGACCACAAGAACGGCCACGGCTACGTCAAGGCGCATCGCGGTTTCTACCACGACGCGATCTTTGTCAAGCGCAACAACTTCAACCTGCTGCTCCACGGAGACGTTCGGCGGCGGCTTCTCGCCCACCGCCGTTCTCAAGCTGCGCCGCCTCGCGCGCAAAGTCGCGCGCGGCAGCGTCGACCGCACGGCCTACTCGCCCAAGTACTCGCTCTCTTTTATGTCCCACCATGCAGAGCGCATCTCTCTCTCTGTTGTGCGAGGTGTGGAACCGCGCCATTCGCCCTCACCTGGCAACCCTGTCTGCACGTCTTGCGCGCGCGTGAACAGGGCGTTCTGTTTTCCAACAGCCTTTAAATGCCAGGGCTCCAGGCCCCACATGACGTGTGAGTGTTAGAGTTGTAAGGTATTGCTAAAAATTTCTCTCTCTCAAACGCGTATTGCGCGCCTGCTTGTTGAAGTTCTCGGCGTCGCCCGCCACCGCAAAAGAGAAAGTGGTCACGACACAAGAACACAACGCACTCTCTCACATGACCTTTGACAGCAAAAGAATTACTCGCCTGAGAACGACAAAAAAGGAAAGGGGCGCTCGCTTGCACAACGGTGGAGGGTCGACTCCTCCCCAGGAATGTCGAACCTCGCCTCCGCCGTTTTCGCCGGTGCCGTAGGGGCTGCGGCGGCACACTACTTCCTGTCGGCCGGCGCGCGCAAGCGGCCGCGCCTCGAGCCCGTGTCGACTTCGCACGCCTCGCCGGCGGCCGGGCACTACTCGCAGGCCGTCAAGAATGGAGGCGAGGTCTTTGTGTCTGGTCTCTTGCCTATCATGCCCGATGGGACCAAGCTGTCGGGAAACACGTTCGAGGCGCAGGCGACTCAGGTGCTGAGAAATCTCGAGGCGATTCTGCACGAGGCTGGCAGCGGCCTCGACCGCCTCATCCAGGTCCGCGTCTACATCACGGACGTGAAAAACTGGGGATTGTTCAACGAGATGTACGCAAACAAGCTGGGTGCGCACAGACCTGCGCGTTGCGTGGTCCCCGTTCCCGAGCTGCACTTCGGGCTCCTGCTCGAGGTGGAGGCGGTGGCAGCGCTCTAAGGCGTCA